GAACATAGCCCCCATACCTTAAGGTAAGACGTATTCTACGTCAAAAACCTTTTAAAAGGCTCATCGGATACCGTCTTCAGCTCAAAAAATTAAACCACCAATTGTTGAAGGTAATTTTAAAGGTCGAGGTAATTTTTTTATCCAAAGATATATTTTTTTTTTACTTCGCTATCTGTTATCGTTTTCGAGATAATAGATTTTGTCACGAAAAAAGTTCATTTTACACAATGTGCGGCGTGCATTCCAGTGATAAGTCTATCCCTTTGTTGGAGAGCATATCGACCAGCTAACTCACTCATATTGCTATTTGGCTTAGTGAACGTTTTCCTGGCAATTTATAATGCATTTGAGGCCTTCTTAGCTCGCTCTTCCACATTCAACAACCACGTCAATTTATTTTCCTAAAAAAATCTTAGATATTTAGATCTTAGACTTAGCGTATGGGCATCACATCACCGGGGTTAGAACAACTCACCGGGGAGAGTCTATGTTTGCCTTACTCCGGCAAATCAAGAGATGGACAATGGCGTAAGGAAGCATTAACTGCAACTAAGTCCAAACCCTCGAATATCAAATGCCTCAATGGATACGTCATTCTTGTTAAATACTTATAATAACTAAAAAAACGAGCCAATAATTTTATGTTTGCCGCCTAAGCAGCTGCAATAAACATTTCACAATAGCAGTGTAGAATAAAAGTTAAATTTTCGCTAAATACTATAAAGTGCCATAAGTTATTCGCACTACTTTTTGCGATTAAAAAATTAAATGAGAAAAAATATTAAAGCCTCTAGACTACTGAGAACATTGTTCACATAACAGCTCAGATACGAGTAAATACAAGAAAATAAAAGCACATAAAAATATGTAAGAACAGTGTGACAATAGTTAATACACACACAAACATGCATACGAATAAATTAAAAGCATTAGTTTTGTGCGTTGTTTCAAGGTCATTTTTATAGATCAGCAACCTCAGGCTAATTGCACGAGCCGCAGCAGCGTAGCTGAGTATTTATTTTTTTGTTAACAAAAACAAAAATTATTTAATAAATAAAAGAAAATGCAACAATCGGCTTTTGTCAAAAGTTGTGTGGGAAAAATTCATAATTCTAAATATTACAGAAATATTTGCAGATACTCGTACAAGATTGGCTAATTGCTTTACGCAACTGGTAAAAAGAGGTTGACTTGCGTTTGGAAAAAATGCGAACAAGCTTGACGTTTGCTTGCACAAGAATAAGAGTGATAGTAGAGTATGTACTAGGTATGTAGGTATGCATACGGTGACCATATTAATGGCAGCCGAATACGAGACAGAAAATAATTTTGCCAATTTTTTTCCACAAAAGCTAGAGGATTTTAAAACCTCTTTCAATAATCCTAGATTTTTTAGCGCTGCAACGGCATCTTTATTTGGCTTATGTTTTTCGTTCTGTTGTGAAAACAGCACCTAAAAATTCAGTTGTAACATCACACATATCTGAAATATTTTTCCATATCTTTGGGCTCGGGGGTTTTACGCCGCAATATTTGTTACAAACATTCCTAGGCAGCGAAACATGATCAAAATATCCGACTACTTTTGAAGCCCGAGTGGTAATCAAAGGATTATTTTTAGACACGGATTTCGGCCAAGCGCAATGCAGTGAATAGCATGCGAAACGAGCTGAATTGTAGAGAGTACCTTAGAAGGGTTCCACTTCAATTCCGTCTTTGAGAACTTCCGTTTTCTTTTACAACATTCTCATGGTAGCCTTCTTATTTGGAGTTTTTCATGTTGACGATAGAATCCCTCATACACAGGTTTGCCAGATGTCTGGTTTTTTGACCGGACAGTCCGGATTTTAGTTACAATACAAACATCTTCATCTTCATCTTCATCTTCATCTTCATCTTCATCTTCATCTTCATCTTCATCTTCATCTTCATCTTCATCTTCATCTTCATCTTCATCTTCATCTTCATCTTCATCTTCATCTTCATCTTCATCTTCA